GACTTTATTTGGTACAATAAATTTACTAAAACTCTACTCGTGCGTTTATTTGTTTTGGGAGTGTATGTATTTTAAAGGATAATAACATTATGTTATGATTTTGCTTTGTTTGTTTGTCTTTAATGCCGCCCTCAGCAATATTCCAGCTATATGACGGCGATCTTTAAAAAATCGAGTCTGGACAAGACAATCCTGTGATTGACAAAATGAGCATCGATCCATGCAAGTGGGATACGATGACATGCATCATCCAAGTCAGCGAGCCTGACCACCCGATCCCGTTAGTCGCCTCTTACGACAAGCATGGACTGCTGAAGATTTATTACACCCCGGATCTTCACGGCTCTCGTTGAACGTATCCAAGCTAAAATATGTTGAAATTACTGGCACAACAACCTGCACTACAATCAGAAAAGGAAGACTTTTTTTTTTTTTTTATATATAAACGTTTTTATTGTTCCCAGAGTTGTAGATTAATACAGAATTCCGTCAAAGACATATTTCGGATTGCATAGAATGGCACAATACACTCTTTAGAAAATTAAAGGGTTGGAAACAAACATTGTCCTATTTCAAACCAACACGGTTGCAACACACAGTCAGACTCAAACATATCATGTATCACCAGAGAGCTATGAATCAAATGCTGAGAGACCGCCTCCGTGGTCTTGTGGTAGAGCGTCCGCCCGGAGAGCGGAAGGTCCAGGGTTCGATCCCGGGCCGCGTCATACAAAAAGACGTTAAAAGATTGTACTTGTTGTTACCCTGTCTGGCGCTCGGCATTAAGGGGCTAAAACAAGGACTGGTCGGCTCGGAGTCAGTATACTGTGTCTGAGTGGGGTATTCATGTTAAACTGCGGCATGGTATCTCAGTGAGCTAGCACTATAAATCGGCATCAGTCCGGACTAGTACAAGCAGCCACACACACACATACACGTGCATGCACGTCGCTATATAAGTGCAATAATCTTGGACGCGACGTTAAACCCAATTTCACCTCACCTCACCTCAAATGCTGAGAATAAATGTAACCATTTTCTATTAAAGTTACTTTTGTCATCCTTTTTTATTGCAATAAATTTCTCGATTGAATATATGTTTTTAAACAATTTTAAAAGTATATCTAATTTCGGTTTGGTTCCTTTAATTCCACTTACATGAATATGCCTTTTTCCCAATAAAACTATATGATTGATTAAAGTATTAGAGTAGTTAGAACCAAACCAAATAAGATATTTTGTCAATTTAATTTTTTGTGGAAGGTAATTGTTAATAAAGGAAAAGGAAGACTTTGTTAATCATAATCCTGACAAAAATATCAATGAAGCTTACATTCCTTATTCTGGCGGGTGACGGGTCACAAAGTGATATTAATTCCATAAATACCACATTTCTCTCATCGAGTGACGGGTCACGAGATGAGAGAAACATGATATTTCAGTCGACACAAGGAATAGCCTATTCATTATATACTTTTGTGTACTTATCTACCGGAAAATATATTGTAAAACTTTGAAAAGTAAACCACTCTTGTTTTTGCGACTCAAAAATAGTTTCGTGGTTGCAAATCTTAAAAAAAAGATATAAAAATATAAACTAAAGTATCCAAAAATATTTAGGGTCACGACATTCTTTATCTTACATTAAAATCAACTTAAAAATAATATTCTTGAAAACTAGGAAGCGGCTGTTGGAAGCGGAAGAATAACAAAAATGGCTCCATTCGTGATCAACTCGTTATTCCGGGACAAGCCGAATAGTGACTCGTGCCCCTCTCGTGGCAATTTTGGCGACCGGGTTCCGTCTTAGCGCAAACGGGCATACCTAAAACAATTGTCACCTCGTTGCGCAATGGTTCACACATTTCCCCCATATATTATAACATATTTCAGATGCAATTTAAAGCACATCGGGAAGTGCGGAATTATACAGTATGATTGAACACATTTAACTATGTCTTTGGTATATTTTTAGATGGAAGACATATGTAAAATCAAAAAATATTTCTGAGGGATTCTTTGTCGAAGAACTTGAAATCATACGCGCATTCTGATTGGTTCGTCGTATTTTCGCACATAACATTCCTCGATAAGGGGACGAATCTTCTTCCAGGTTACGGAAAGGGGCGAGTGGCATGGTGACGAATGAAATGGCTCTTTCCGAAACGAACAGTCTCGATCGACGAGTTAAATAAGGAAACATTTTCGAGAGAATAATAAACGGCAAGAAGTGATATTAACTACATAAATGACAAATGTTCCGTCTAAGTGTAATGTATACTGCATGTGTAATGATCACTGCAGTGCTTGCTTGTTTGTTTGTTGTTTAACGCAGCACTCAGCAATATTCCAGCTTTATGACGGCGGTCTGTAAAAAATCGAGTCTGGACCAGACATTCTAGTTATTGACATCATGAGCATGAAATATGTTGTTGAGTTCATTGCAACTTTAGAAAGCTCAGTCTTTCACACTTAAGTATATAATAAATGCGTTTAACATGTTTAACAGTTTAACATGTACATCTGCCTGTCGTTCGTCTTGAAGGGGGTGCCGCCTCCGTGGTCTTGTGGTAGAGCGTCCGCCCGGAGAGCGGAAGGTCCGGGGTTCGATCCCCGGCCGCGTCATACCAAAAGACGTTAAAAGATGGTACTTGTTGTTACCCTGTCTGGCGCTAACCGATACTTGCCAACCTCTGCCTGGGTGTTCCTGTACATGACCGGATGCACCGGCTTAATTGCCTACCCCCACTGAGCGTCCTCGCCAGTGGATACTGACCTATACATATATTTGTGCCCCGAGTAAAGGGATGCAACTCCACATGACTTTAAACGTCCTGTTATTATGGTTAATAAAAGTTAAAAGTTAACTGTGAAGGTGTTTATTTACACCTCTGATAATTTGCATATACATAGAGAAAAGGTTGATTGTTACGATATCGGTTGAAACGTTTACGTTTCTACATTAATTAACTGTTAATCGATCACTGAAGTTCGGTGTTTTCACAGAAATTGGGGAATTACACATACACGTAGAAGCATCGAGTAACATATTTCAAACGTAGTTTTAAATGTTTCCCAAATGTTTGAAACATTTGAAAATTATTTCACTATAAAGACATGTAATCCAATCATTTAAGTCTAGTGGAAACTTTACTGAATATTTCAACCTTACTAACGTACAGAACTTTGAAACTACGCGTCCTCTTTATCTATCACCATTTTACGGATGAGTGATTTCAACGTGGGGTGATACTCATGGCACAGATTCTTGGGTATGACTGCAGTGCCTGCTTGTTTGTTTGTTGTTTTACGCCGCACTCAGCAATATTCCAGCTTTATGACGGCGGTCTGTAAATAATCGAGTCTGGACCAGACATTCTAGTGATTGACATCATGAGCATGAAATATGTTGTTGTGTTCATTGCAACTTTAGAAAGCCCAGTCTTTCACACTTAAGTATATAATAAATGCGTTTAACATGTTTAACAGTTTAACATGTACATCTGCCTGTCGTTCGTCTTGAAGGGGACAAGGCTAGGACAAAATCAAGGAGTCAGTATACTATGTCCGAGTGGGTTTTCGGTGTTAACTGCCGCATGGTATGTCAGTGAGCTAGCATTATAACATCGGCATAAGTCTTGAGAAGTTCCAGCAGCCACACGCCCTCGTACATGTACTTACATTCAATAATCTTGAACGCAGCATTAAGTCCAAGTTTTACCTCCCCTCACCTCACCCCTATAGGTGATGACCGCCTCCGTGGTCTAGTGGTGGAACGTCCGCCTGGAGAGCGGAAGACCTGGGGTTCGATTCCCGCCCGCGTCATACAGAAAGACGTTAAAAGATGGTACTTGTTGTTACCGTGCCTGCAACTCGGCATTAAGGGGCTAAAACAAGGACTTGTCGGCTCGGAGTCAGTATACTGTATCCGAGTGGGGTATTCATGTTAAACTGCAACATGGTATCTCTGTGTGCTTTTACTTTACAATCGGCATCAATTCGGACAAGTACAAGCAGCCGCACACACGTACATGCACGTCGCTATATAAGTGCAATAATCTTGGAAGCGACGTTTAATCCAATTTCACCTCACACCTCACCTACAGGTGATACTACATGATACACTGTTTTTTTCTCTCTACACACGTCACACAAATCATGACAGGCAATGGCACATCCACGCTTGTCATGGTCTTTCGTTACAGATTATGGTGGATATAAACATATCTCTTGGTCTTTCTACACAGGTGATATAGATACACAAATGTACATGATGCTGTCTTTCCTCGTGGATGATGGTACACACATGTCTGTCATGGTCTTTCTCTACAAGTGATGGCAGATTTATTCATTTAATGTTTTATCCACAGAAGACAGGAGGCGTGGTCCACGTGTTTAGCGTGGTTGCTTGCAAGATAGACATGCCGCCATGAACCCTGAGACCAACTCTTAAGCCAAAGCTAAACCCCAAAAGCCAAACAAATAGTTTCACTAAAAGCCAAATAGGATTTCTTTGGTATAATATGTGTGCGTAAGGACTTGAATATTTGAGGTGAGGTGAAATGGGGTTTAACGTCGCGTCCAAGATTAATGCACTTATATAGCGACGTGCATGTATGTGTGTGTGTTTGTGTGGCTGCTTGTACTAGTACGGACTGATGCCGATTTATAGTGCTAGCCCACTGAGATACCATGCCGAAGTTAAACATGAATACCCCACTCAGACAAAGTATACTAACTCCAAGCCGACCAGTCCTTGCTTTAGCCCCTTAATGCCGAGCGCCAGACAGGATAACAACAAGTACCATCTTTTAACGTCTTTTGGTATGACGCGGTCGGGGATCGAACCCCAGACCTTCCGCTCTCCGTGCTGACACTCTACCATTAGACCACGGAGGCGGTCGACCTTGAATATTTGACCTTAAATAACATATGAACATTAAATACAAAAACACATTTTTGAAGATGATTCATTTATTTTAATAAGGTTCATGGGGTGGTACATGAAGGAATGGTGCTAAAACACCACATGTCAATTTACAGGAGATACACAACGTCATCTCTGACCAATAACAGTTCGTGGTTTTCATTTGCATCTGAAGTTTCACAGCATGAGGTTTATGTACTGGGTAAACGTCTCACCAATTAAAGTTTGTGCGTCCCATCAATAAGGACAGTTGCTCGTTGTGTGGTCTGTAAAATTCATCAAGTAGCTGACGAGTCTCGTTCATCATGTCCCCGACGTCTTGGCCATAACGCCTTTGATAAGCAACCTTCTGGTCAACGATGTTTGTCAATTCTGTTTCCGATAATGTTCCTGTAAATAATAATTCATCTTAGGTAAACAAACGTTCCTTCGTTTGAACACCTGGTTTCACAAAATTTGGTAGTGATTCCTAGCGGGATCGAGTGGTCAGGCTCGCTGACTTGGTTGATACATGTCATCGATCTCAATTGCATGGATCGATGCTCATGATATCAATCACTGGATTGTCTGGTCCAGACTCGATTATTTACAGACCGCCGTCATATAGCTGGAAAAATGCTGAGTGTGGCGTTAAACAACAAACAAACAAACAAACAAAGTGATTCCTAAACACGTAATCATGGCAGTCGGTCGGTTGGTTGGTTGGTTTGTTGTATAACGCCGCACTCGGCAATATTCCTGCTATATGCAAATAATCGAGTCTGGACCAGACAATCAAATGATTGACATCATGAGCATCGATCAACCCGATTGGGATCGATGACATGCATTAACCAAGTCAGCGAGCCTGACCACCAGAACCCGTTAGTAGCCTTTTACGACAAGCATAGTCACCTTTTACGGCAAGCATGGGTTGCTGAAGACCTATTCTACCCCGGAATCTTCACGGGTCAGGCAGTCGGAATCGTATGGACAGGACTTCTGACATTTTTTTTTAAGATTTCAAGATTATTCCTTCCATTTAAAAGTAATTGTTCCTTCACAAAAATAGTTGTCCGAATAGTCTGAAACCAAATTTGTTTGACTTTATCCGATAGAGAATAGTGTGTCTTGAAGCAGTGGCCGAAAACATATTCTGAGGTTCATAAAAAATTCCACTTCCTTCCTACCAAAGCAAGTCTGTTCTGTATGCACACTACAGAACAGGCCGGGGGTAGCAGGAGCAGGGCACATGGTGCAACGCTCAAAACTACCATTTTATGTACTACTTTTTTGGGAATAATAATATTATTATATTAATAGTAATAACATTGTGAATACTGACAGGGAAAATGAAGTTAATATGGAGAGGACAATACTTATTCTATAGGGTTAGTATACTCACGTAAATCAAGAAATTTGAAAAGTTCTGCAAGATAGTGTGAAACATTCCTAGAATATTCCTCAAACTTTAGGACGTAGAGCTGCTCTCTGGGAAACACGTTCAACCAGTCCCACAAAAATACATGGTAAATACCTCGCTGCAGATCAATCTGGAGACAGAGCATTAAATAGATTTATCAGAGTGAGTGAGTGAGCGAGCGAGCGGGCGGGCGGGCGGGCGAGCGGGCGAGCGAGCGAGCGCGTGAGCGAGTGAGTGAGTGAGTGAGTGAGTGAGTGAGTGAGTGGGTGGGTGAGTGAGTGAATGAGTGAGTGAGTGAGTGAGTGGGTGGGTGGGTGGGTGGGTTGTCGGGTGGGTGGGTGAGTGAGTGAGTGAGTGAGTGAGTGAGTGAGTGAGTGAGTGAGTGAGTTAGTGAGTTAGTGGTTTTATGTACCCTTTAGCTATATTGAAGCATTACCAAAGATTGGTTTCAGACACAGAGAGACGAACTGAACCCACGACTTGGGTCTGCAAACACTTCTGGCTGCCAAACTTGTCAGACTCCGTGTCATCACATGCATATGCATCTTGTATAGGTACCAAGCTATATGAAGGAGGACTGCCAGTCTGTATAAAGGACATCGAACTGGATACAAGAAACGTGTCAACATTTTTATATTACACAAGAAGGGTGTGTCATATGGCCTCAGACCACAATTTATTTCCTTCTTTGCTTTCTACAGTGACATGACAGCCCACCATAATTATTATCGGTCGTAGACCGTTCTACTGTTGCATGCTGACCAACCTGCCTCTTGTCACTTAATACGCAAAGTTTCGGCCTGCATTTCTGGTGTCCCCCGCCATGATATTGCTGGAATATTGCTAAAAGTGGCGTAAAACCAAACACACTCACTCACTCACTCACATGAACGATGATATCAGATCAACAAAGCGGACCCTTCCCACGCCGTCCTCTTTGAATCACAAACACTTTTGTCTGGTGAGTGAGTTAGTGGTTTTATGTACCCTTTAGCTATATTGAAGCATTACCAAAGATTGGTTTCAGACACAGAGAGACGAACTGAACCCACGACTTGGGTCTGCAAACACTTCTGGCTGCCAAACTTGTCAGACTCCGTGTCATCATATGCATATGCATCTTGTATAGGTACCAAGCTATATGAAGGAGGACTGCCAGTCTGTATAAAGGACATCGAACTGGATACAAGAAACGTGTCAACATTTTTATATTACACAAGAAGGGTGTGTCATATGGCCTCAGACCACAATTTATTTCCTTCTTTGCTTTCTACAGTGACATGACAGCCCACCATAATTATTATCGGTCGTAGACCGTTCTACTGTTGCATGCTGACCAACCTGCCTCTTGTCACTTAATACGCAAAGTTTCGGCCTGCATTTCTGGTGCCCCCCGCCATGATATTGCTGGAATATTGCTAAAAGTGGCGTAAAACCACTCACTCACTCACTCACATGAACGATGATATCAGATCAACAAAGCGGACCCTTCCCACGCCGTCCTCTTTTTAATCACAAACACTTTTGTCTGGTGATATCTTAATTCAGCAAACCGACGTACAGTAAAGTACGGTTATAACGAACTCAAAGGGACTACTAATTTAATTTCGTTATAACCGTAGTTTGTTATAAGCATATATACAGCATAATACAGCTAATTATCGGGACCAAAAAAGTAAGTTCGTTATATCCGTCAGTTTGTTATAAGCGTGTTCGTTATAACCGTAGTTAACTGTAATTATAATCACATTCAGTACAAGAGCAATGATCAGCTTCACACGATGGGCAACATACGGCCCTTCCCACACCGACCCCTTATGCCCTATCACTTATGTCTCAGCTAACGAGAGATGATATCTGACACATTATTAGCCCTGTCTTACCATATTAATCTCACAGTTACCTTTGTCGCAGGTAATTTGTGATATCGGACACATTATTAGCCCTGTGTTACCATATCAATCTCACAGTTACCTTTGCCGCAGGTAATTTGTGATATCGGACACATTATTAGCCCTGTGTTACCATATCAATCTCACAGTTACCTTTGCCGCAGGTAATTTGTGATATCGGACACATTATTAGCCCTGTGTTACCATATCAATCTCACAGTTACCTTTGTCGCAGGTAATTTGTGACATCGGACACATTATTAGCCCTGTGTTACCATATCAATCTCATAGTTACCTTTGTCGCAGGTAATTTGTGATATCGGACACATTATTAGCCCTGTGTTACCATATCAATCTCACGGTTACCTTTGTCGCAGGTAATTTGTGACATCAGACACATTATTAGCCCTGTGTTACCATATCAATCTCACAGTTACATTTGTCGCAGGTAATTTGTGATATCGGACACATTATTAGCCCTGTCTTATCATATCAATCTCACAGTTACCTTTGTCGCAGGTAATTTGTGACATCGGACACATTATTAGCCCTGTGTTACCATATTAATCTCACAGTTACCTTTGCCGCAGGTAATTTGTGATATCGGACACATTATTAACCCTGTCTTACCATATTTATCTCATGGTTACCTTTGTCGCAGGTAATTTGTGATATCGGACACATTATTAGCCCTGTCTTACCATATTTATCTCACAGTTACCTTTGCCGCAGGTAATTTGTGATATCTGACACATTATTAGCCCTGTCTTACCATATCAATCTCAAAGTTACCTTTGTCGCAGGTAATTTGTGACATCGGACACATTATTAGCCCTGTCTTACCATATCAATCTCATGGTTACCTTTGTCGCAGGTAATTTGTGATATCAGACACATTATTAGCCCTGTGTTACCATATTTATCTCACAGTTACATTTGCCGCAGGTAATTTGTGATATCGGACACATTATTAGCCCTGTCTTACCATATCAATCTCACAGTTACATTTGTCGCAGGTAATTTGTGACATCGGACACATTATTAGCCCTGTGTTACCATATCAATCTCACGGTTACATTTGTCGCAGGTAATTTGTGATATCAGACACATTATTAGCCCTGTGTTACCATATTTATCTCACAGTTACATTTGCCGCAGGTAATTTGTGATATCGGACACATTATTAGCCCTGTCTTACCATATCAATCTCACAGTTACCTTTGTCGCAGGTAATTTGTGATATCGGACACATTATTAGCCCTGTGTTACCATATTTATCTCACAGTTACCTTTGTCGCAGGTAATTTGTGATATCGGACACATTATTAGCCCTGTGTTACCATATCAATCTCACAGTTACCTTTGTCGCAGGTAATGTGATGATATCTGACACATTATTAGCCCTGTCTTACCATATTAATCTCACAGTTACCTTTGTCGCAGGTAAATTGTGATATCGGACACATTATTAGCCCTGTCTTACCATATTAATCTCACAGTTACCTTTGTCGCAGGTAATTTGTGACATCGGACACATTATTAGCCCTGTGTTACCATATCAATCTCACAGTTACATTTGTCGCAGGTAATTTGTGATATCGGACACATTATTAGCCCTGTGTTACCATATCAATCTCACAGTTACCTTTGTCGCAGGTAATTTGTGACATCGGACACATTATTAGCCCTGTGTTACCATATCAATCTCACGGTTACCTTTGTCGCAGGTAATTTGTGATATCAGACACATTATTAGCCCTGTGTTACCATATTTATCTCACAGTTACATTTGTCGCAGGTAATTTGTGATATCGGACACATTATTAGCCCTGTCTTACCATATCAATCTCACAGTTACCTTTGTCGCAGGTAATTTGTGATATCAGACACATTATTAGCCCTGTGTTACCATATTTATCTCACAGTTACCTTTGTCGCAGGTAATTTGTGATATCGGACACATTATTAGCCCTGTCTTACCATATCAATCTCACAGTTACCTTTGTCGCAGGTAATTTGTGATATCGGACACATTATTAGCCCTGTGTTACCATATTAATCTCACAGTTACCTTTGTCGCAGGTAATTTGTGACATCGGACACATTATTAGCCCTGTGTTACCATATCAATCTCACAGTTACATTTGTCGCAGGTAATTTGTGATATCGGACACATTATTAGCCCTGTCTTACCATATCAATCTCACAGTTACCTTTGTCGCAGGTAATTTGTGACATCGGACACATTATTAGCCCTGTGTTACCATATCAATCTCACAGTTACCTTTGCCGCAGGTAATGTGATGATATCTGACACATTATTAGCCCTGTTTAACCCTATAGAGCTCACAGTTACCTTTGATATCAGACACGAATGTCCACTGTTTTGTCATTCTGACCTTTATATATTTCAAACAACATTTGTCTCTGCGCTCGGACAATGGTATCAGATCAGACACACCCTCGCGTGTATGAGAAAGGATAATATCAGACACGCCTCCCGCTTATGTATGAGATACATGTGTGCTACATGAACGCCCGTGCCCTGAGATAAAGTTTGTTTGTTTATTTGTTTGTTGTTTAACGCCACACTCAGCAATATTCAAGCTATATGAAGGCGGTCTGTAAATAATCGAGTCTGGACTGGACAACCCATTTATTTATACCATGAACATCGATCCACGCAATTGGGATCGATGACATGTATCAACCAAGTCAGCGAGCCTGACCACCCGATCCCGTTAGTCGCCTTTTACGGCAAGCATGGGTTGATGAAGACCTAATTTACCCCGGATCTTCACGGGTCGCCTGAGACAAAGATGGTGTCAGACACACCTACCTCGTGTGTCCCAGAGAAGAAGTTGGTGTAGTTGTAGCAGCAGCCGCGGAGGGACTGTGACGTTAGACAGTCTTTAAACACGTTGATCTCTCTTACAACGAGGTCGTGGAAGGCTTGTTTTGACACTTTCCTCTTTGAAAAGCCGGCCTTGTGGAAATAGTAAGAGTACAGCCTACAAAATATTGAACATTTATATAAATACATCAACATCATCTTCAATTAGATATTACATACATTATAATAAAAAATTGTGTGATTATACTTTATCATGTTAAACACAAGAACGTAAACCAATCAATGGTTCCATCAGGGCCACATAACGAAAAATCAAAATACAGTAAACTACGTTTATTACGAACACGCTTATAACGAACTACGGTTATAACGAACTAGAATTAATGGTCCCTTTGAGTTCGTTATAACCGTAGTTTACTGTATCGTTTACCCTCTCCACTTTAAGCTTCAGACACCGGTTTGTTTCAAAAATCCACTGGACAGACATACCATATTCGACGTAATAAGCGCCCCGCTCTAATAAGCGCCCACGGCGATATTTGCTAATATATTGGCTAGTGAACAATCCCAATTAGCACCCCTTCCGATTGATCAATGTACACAAACTTATTTATTCGCGTATAATACGCACTCGTGTCTTATATGCATTCTTAATTATCGGCAATAAAATTCTGGAACAATATATCTGTTGCATATAAACATTTCAGTCTGTCAGTATAAACCACGAAATATATCTTTCAACTCTGTTTTTCCCAACAAAATAATGTTCTGATAAGAGCCCCCTATTTCTAATTTTGAGAGCGTCCTGGACGCTTATTACGTCGAATACGGTATATACATTTTAACATGGCTTGGTGGATTATGGATACATGTATGAACATTTCGGTTATTTGATATAAATTATTCAGCACAAACTGGGGGACAAATGACAAATGTCTCAAACTTGTATATAATGTTCATATTCTGTGTGCTAATTACATTGTCTATATATTAACGTGTGTTTGTTTTGTATTGTTTGTTTTGTAACGCCGCACTCAGCAATATTCCAGCTACATGACGGCGGTCTGTAAATAATCGAGTCTGGGCAATCCAGTGATTGACATCATGAGCATCGATCCACGCAAAAGAGATACGATGACATGCATCAACCAATTCACCGAATCTCATGTTACGGCAAGACCTATTTACCCTGATCTTCACAGGTAACTATGACCTATTAGATTATTTAATACAAAACACCTTGTTTGGAAAGATATGCGGTATTCTTAAGAACATTTATATATTTATTTATACATTACGAAACACTTTAAGAGACAGGGGTACCTTCTCTAAAACTGTCCCCATCAAACTGCTGCTTAACCTACGTGTTGGGCTTGTTAACATGTCGAATAATGCAGTATACACTGGCATTGGGAATAAGTTTTCACTATACTGTTCCAGTACTATTGCGGAAAATGCCTTTGACAGTCAGGCTGACACCTGCTTGAAGGTGAGGTGAGGTGAGGTGAGGTGAGGTGAGGTGAGGTGAGGTGAGGTGAGGTGAAATTGGGTTTAACGTCGCGTCCAAGATTAATGCACTTATATAGCGACGTGCATGTACGTGTGTGTGTTTGTACTAGTCCGGACTGATGCCGATTTATAGTGCTAGCCCACTGAGATACCATGCCGCAGTTTAACATGAATACCCCACTCAGACACAGTATACTGACTCCGAGCCGACCAGTCCTTGTTTTAGCCCCTTATATTAATGCCGAACCCCAGACAGCGTAACAACAAGTACCATCTTTTAACGTCTTTTGGTATGGCGCGGCCGGGGATCGAACCCCGGACCTTCCGCTCTCCGGGCGGACGCTCTACCACTAGACCACGGAGGCGGTCACCTGTTTGTAGGGCTCCTGAGAGACAGTATAAGTCTCGCTCGTGGGTTCAGATGGTGGATGAGGTCGGGATTTGTCACGCACGGCTCTTTGCATCCCTCGTTCCCAGGCAACATGTCCCAGAACTCGTTGAATGAGAAATAGGCGGGGGTAGCATCACCTGTGAAGAATATTAAAAATTAAAAATAGGGGGCCCTTATTAGAATATTATTTTGGTGATAAAAACAGAGTTGAAAGATAAATTTCGTGGTTTATGCTGACAGCCTGAAATGTTTATATACGACAGATATATACTGAACCAAATTAAAAACTTCACAATCCTAAAATTTTAACATTTTGACCAGTTATCATTGTGGGCCCTTATTGTGTATTTAAACAGTAATGGCCACGTATTGTCTTCATATAACACCCGTTTTTCTGCAGGTGAATCGATCAAAATCATGTGCACAGCACTATAGTGGCAAAAGTGTTTTTTCACGTGCAACTGGTCACGTGGCCATAATACCACACGTGTTTTCAGCCATACTTGTTAACAGTCATTAACAAAAAAGAAAAACACGAGAAAACAAAAGTCTTTACGGCCATTTGTCATCCCACGCCTTTCAAATGTGCAACGTGAATGTGCCATCGGCATGTTGCAGACGGGAACGTCCGTAGCTGAAGTCGCAAGAACGATGGGTTGTAGTCGACGGACTGTTTATGATTTACAGACGCGTCTACAGCAAACGGGTACCATCACTGATCGCCCTCGGCCAGGTCGACCACGTGTGACGTCACATGCAGAGGATTGGCAGATTGTCTTACGTCACCTCCGTAACCGATTTTCGAAACCGTCTGAGAACTGCTCACCTTCAAGCACGACGGCCATACTGCGGGCCGATTCTGACTCAATTACACATACGTCAACGTCAATTGTAGGCACAGCGACACTTACGATGGATTCAAAAGAATTGGTTTGAATCAAGTCGTCTTCAGTGATGAATCCCGATTTAATCTTCGATTTGCTGATGGTAGGACGAGGGTGTGGAGGCGCCGTCATGAACGTTACGCCCAGTGTTGTGTACAGGAAGTTGACAGATTTTGAGGCGGAAGTGTCATGGTGTGGGGTGCTTTCTGTGGCAATGCACGTTCCAGGCTTCTTGTCATCCGTGGCAACCTCAACGCTGCTGCTTACCGCGACCAGGTACTGGCACCAGAACTTCTGCCTTTTATGGCAGCACATGGACCCGGTTTGATCTTCTAACACGACAATGCCAGACCCCACACAGCAAGGAATTTCCTTCAGAATACGGGAATCAACGTCATGGACTGGCCGTCAAGGTCTCCCGACCTCAATCACATCGAACACGTCTGGGATGCTCGTCTACGCACTCTCCAGAACCAACCACAGAATTTGCAAGATCTTGGCACCATTTTGCAGCAACAATGGCGTCGTCTTCCCAATCATGTGTTCACAAGCATCACAAGGTCCATGTGGAGGCGTTGTGTGGCAGTTGTCAACGCATATGGTGGCCATACACGCTACTGAACTTGTGTGCCATCAGATTCTCGTGCTTGGGACTAATGATTTAAACTGTTGATATTATTACTGAATACCGTAGGTGCTTGGAACAAATTATGGTTACCCCCGTTAATTAAAATCCTTCTTTGGACATTAATGATTAAAAATTACCTCTCTGATACATTTGTCCGTTGTATATCATATATGGGATTACTTTTAAAAATGTGATGTTTTTAATTTGACTATATTTTTCCAGAATTTAAATGCCCATAATTAAGGGTGCATATAACACACGAGTGCGCATTATACGCGAATAAATAAGTCTTTTGTACATTGACCAATCGGAAGGGGTGCTAATTTGGATTGTTCTCTAGCCAATATATTAGCAAATGTGGGCGCTCATTAGAGCAGGGCGCTTATTACGTCGAATACGGTATGTACAATGTAGGCGTTTTGCTAAATTCCCTTTCCATTTTTTACACCGATAAGGCACGCAGGAGAGTATCATAGTTTTACCTATAATATATGGGCTGACGGTGTCCTTTCCGTGGTTCTTCTGTATGTAACTGGCACTCGTTTGCAGCAAATAAAGGTACGTATCTATGGAGGTACATGATTCGCCTGAAAGTAAAAGATGGCAAACATATCTATGAAAAGGTTTGCCATACTGAAGATCTACAAAGAAAATTTGCATCATGTTCGAAAAAAATAGCAATAGCGTTTGTGACAGCCATTGACGGTAACTTGTAAACATGTTTCAATCAATTGTTGTACTTGAGTATGAAGAGGGAATTTCAACAATCTGTGAAATTTTACTATTTGTGACAAAAGAAGTACAGTAAAGTACGTTTATAACGAACACGGTTATAACTAACTGACGGACATAACGAACAGATTTTTGGCCCCGTCCATTTGCTGTAATTATGCTGTATATATGCTTATAACGAACTACGGTTATAACGAACTGACGGATATAACGAACTTACTTTTTTTGGTCCCGACAATTTGCTGTAATTATGCTGTATATGTGCTTATAACGAACTACGGTTATCACGAACAAAATTTAGTGCCCCCTTTAAGTTCGTTATAACCGTAGTTTACTGTACGCTTGTTATTTCTAAGCTTGATGTGTGAGAGAGATTAATATTTATTTCCTCCAAATGCCATTCCGAAGATTACAATAAAACTGTATTCAATTACACTCGATGAACACAATAAAAGTGGCATAACATTACTTCAAATCTACACAGCAAATCAAATTCAAATACCTAAGCAAAGACAGATATCCACTAAAAGATGTATATCAAAAGATGCTTTAGTCTGTACATATACCAGGTGAACTGTAGTATGATTGTCTCCCAGGTGTGTTAATCCAGATTGTGAGTAAAGTTTGTTTCAGCTCAAAATATGATAACAAAAGAATGATAACATATATGTTTCGTCTTGCATTTCGAAATCAATATTTTTGAACGTCAAGTAAGTCAATGCGAAAAGAGAAAAACGCTTTTTTCTGATATAAGCGTTCACAATGTAAAATAATGTGGATGTCATGCCTATTGCAGAGCTTGCACTCTTTGTAAACGTGTTAGAAAATACCATATGCAATAATAAAGATAACGACTAAGTTCTTGTATTAAAAACGAGGCATCCAAGATTCGACAGAGCTCAAATTCAAACTAAACATGTCCAAATAAGAAATGTTATCCCTCGTCATATTTCCACGTACTGAGCTGTGACCGACGAACCCACTGTGTCTCCTTCATGGCATGTGGAGCTACATCAGGGTGACTTTTGATTCTACCGAACAGATCCGACGTTCCACACTTGCACTGGCCGATGATGAAGAAGTAGGGCAGACAACGCAGCACCCGTGATTCCCCCGTCTTCCTCCTGTTGCTGGCGATCCACTCCAGTGGCTCCCTGCTTCGTTTCATGCTCTGAGGACACTTGTCTTCAGGGACATCTTGCACCCACCAACACGGGCTGGTGAACTCGGGGAGAGTCTTAAACTGAGGCTACAAATATAAAGAGACATCTTGCACCCACCAACACGGGCTGGTAAACTCGGGGAGAGTCTTAAACTGAGGCTACAAATATAAAGAGACATGTTGCACCCACCAACACGGGCTGGTAAACTCGGGGAGAGTCTTAAATTGAGGCTACAAATATAAAGAGACATGTTGCACCCACTAACACGGGCTGGTGAACTCGGGGAGAGTCTTAAACTGAGGCTACAAATATAAAGAGACATGTTGCACCCACCAACACGGGCTGGTGAACTCGGGGAGGGTCTTAAACTGAGGCTACAAATATAAAGAGACATGTTGCACCCACCAACACGGGCTAGTGAACTCGGGGAGAGTCTTAAATTGAGGCTACAAATATAAAGACACATCTTGCACCCACCAACACGGGCTGGTGAACTCGGTGAGAGTCTTAAACTGAGGCTACAAATATAAAGAGACATGTTGCACCCACCAACACGGGCTGGTAAACTCGGGGAGGGTCTTAAACTGAGGCTACAAATATAAAGACACATCTTGCACCCACCAACACGGGCTGGTGAACTCGGGGAGAGTCTTAAACTGAGGCTACAAATATAAAGAGACATCTTGCACCCACCAACACGGGCTGGTGAACTCGGTGAGAGTCTTAAACTGAGGCTACAAATATAAAGAGACATGTTGCACCCACCAACACGGGCTGGTAAACTCGGGGAGGGTCTTAAACTGAGGCTACAAATATAAAGACACATCTTGCACCCACCAACACGGGCTGGTGAACTCGGGGAGAGTCTTAAACTGAGGCTACAAATATAAAGAGACATCTTGCACCCACCAACACGGGCTGGTGAACTCGGGGAGGGTCTTAAACTGAGGCTACAAATATAAAGACACATCTTGCACCCGCCAACACGGGCTGGTAAACTCGGGGAGAGTCTTAAACTGAGGCTACAAATATAAAGAGACATGTTGCACCCACCAACACGGGCTGGTAAACTCGGGGAGAGTCTTAAACTGAGGCTACAAATATAAAGAGACATCTTG